CTACTTTGTCCGTCAAAGTGTTTGATTGTATTCAGGAAACTTCTTAGCTTTGGTTTAGTCCAGTTGTGCTGACTTCCTCTGTAGTGTGTGCTGTCCTTCCCTTCACCTAAGACGATTCTTATCTACTATCTAGTTAGTAAATAACCCTCACCCTCCCTCTTCACCCTCATAACCATCAGAGAATGTTTTCTTCTGTGTTTAAACCTTTTCTTGAGTTCTTATAATAGTGATCTTATACAATATTTGTCCTTCTGTGACTGACTAAATTCATCAGCATAATGACCTCCAGCTTCCTGCATGTTATGTTTCATGGCTTCATCGTTGTTCTTTATCATTGTGTAGTATTCCATTGTGTGAATATACCATAATTTATTTATCCATTCGTCCATTGATGGGCACCTAGGTTGTTTCCTTCTTTTTGCTATTGTGAACAGTGCTGCAATGAACATGGGTGTGCATATATCTATTCATGTGATGGCTCTTATTTCTCTAGGATATATTCCAAGGAGTGGGATTGCTGGATCATATGGTACTTCTATTTCTAGCTTTTTAGGGAAGTGCCAAATCAATTTCCAAAGTGGTTGTACCATTTTACATTCCCACCAACAGTGTATAGGTGTTCCAGTCTCTCCACAACCCCTCCAGCATTTATTATTTTGTTTTTTTTGGATTAATTCTAGCTTTGTTGGGGTGAGATGGTATCTCATTGTAGTTTTGATCTGCATTTCTCTAATGGCTAATGATCATGAGCATTTCTCCATGTGTCTGTTAGCCGCCTGAATATCTTCTTTGGTGAAGTGTCTGTTCATATCCTTTGCCCATTTTTTAATTGGGTTATTTGTCTTTTTGTTGTTGAGATTTTGCAGTATCTTGTAGATTTTAGAAATTAGATGCTGATTGGATTTGTTGTAGCCAAAAATTTTTTCCCAGTCTGTAGGTTGTCTTTTGACTCTTTTGTTGAAGTCTTTTGATGAGCATAAGTGTTTGATTTTTAGGGGCTCCCATTTATCTAGTCTCTCTTCTGGTGCTTGTGTATTGTTAGTTATGGTTCGAATTGTGTTTATGCCATGTATTAGGGCTCCTAGTGTTGTCCCTATTTTTCCTTCCATGATCTTTATCATTTTTGATTTTATATTTAAGTCTTTGATCCATTTTGAGTTAGTTTTTGTGCATGGTGTGAGGTATGGGTCTTGTTTCAGTTTTTTGCAGATGGATATCCAGT